TTTTTATGTATAAGAAAACTGAGGTATAGTGAAGTTAGGTAACTTGCTGTCTTAGTTTGGGCTGCTATAACAAAGTATTATAGACTGGGTGGCATATAAACAACAGAATGTATTTCTCACAGTTCTGGATACTGGGAAGTCCAAGATCAAGGCACTGCCAGATTTCGTGTCTGGCGAAGATCCACTTCCTCATAGACAGTCATCTTCTCACTGTAACCTCACAGGGCAGAAGAGACAGGGGAGCTATCTCACGACTCTGCTATAAAGGCACTAATCTTATTCATGAGGGTTCTGCCCTCATGACCTTATCACCTCCCAATGGCACCACCTCCTAATACTGTTACGTTGGGGGTTAGGATTTCAACATATGCATTTTGTGGAGTCACAAACATTCAGTCCATTGCACTTGCCCAACGTTTTATTTTTAATAGGCCATGGAGCTAAGATTTATCCTCAAACAACTTGATTTCAGAGCCAAGTTTAAAATCTATACTGACAGCTTTAAAACTTCTACACTCTCGATAGTAAAGGATAACAGTGAGGACTGAGCAATATGTTCTCTTATTTTTATGTGCTGTATACTTTTCCAAGAAGTCATTTTGTACACAATAGTAGCATATATTTTTCTTCCTCCTGAGTAAGATGAAATAGGCTATCCTTCCTGTAATGTTTAATGTTGCTGACTCTTCAATGATTTATTTCAGATCTCAGTGGGAAATGGAGAAACATAATCTGGAAAGCACAATGAAAACATACTTAAATAAACTGAATGCAGAAACTAGCAGAGCTTTAACAGCAGAGGTAAAAAAAAAAGTTTGGAGGGATGGATGATATAGGGAAGTTTTACTTGTGTACTAGTACACCAAAGAATTAAAAGAGACTGTTTTGTGAATAAACAGAAATAAGACCTCTTAGGACCAACCAAAAAACACAGCTCAAAAAATAAAACACTTCTCCTTTTTTGACTCATTGGCTTTTTATGCATGAATATTTCAGGGTTGATGATCTTATGTTGTTTTCCCCCAATGACTCCACAAAATTGGTCTGTTGCAGTAGGCCTTGAGAAAACTCTCATGAGGCCAGGTCACTAAGCCAGACTTCTAAGAATAACATTTCTCTGCTTCCATATCTCTTTTTTCTTCTACTTCCTAAATAGATTTTCTAAAAATACATACATATTACATACCGCAATGCCAAAAAACCCTCTTACTTTGCAGACCCCCAGAAAATCA